GGGGGGGGGGGGGGGGGGGCATGTTTAAGATTTTTTTTTTTTCCGGTGCACCGGGCGCACAGGTCGCAGCGCGCGCACTGCGCACTGCGCACCGGCACGCACCGCGCAATGCATACGTGTGCCGCAACTATGGTTATGCAGCATTGCAATACAAATTTTCATGAAATTTCGCCAACATTCCAATGTCAGAAATCTTGAGAAATTTCAGAAATATCATCGGAGGAAACAATGGAAATTCCAATTGCCCAAATGATACCAAATTTGGCACACAGCAACCTTAAAGCAAGGGGTCCCGGTGGACCAGTTGTGAGGGAAAGAAGAGATTCTCGACTGCGTCTCATTATGGCTGTACCACTTGTGAGAGAAAGAAGAGATTCTCGACTGCTTCTCATTATGGCTGTACTGAACCAGAAATACCGTTTGTGTACATTCAGGTACGGACAACTTCAAAAGAGATGGGGAAGGCCCTCACTGAGGGCATGCTCACACTAGTGTGTCCAAGAACGTATCTGACCACTATTACGGCCAAATCTTTGTTGTTGTTCTCTTTTTCTTGTTCTCTTTCGTTCTTAGTCCCCTGCCGGCAACGCAGGGCGTATTCCACATTCTCAGCCTCAGAGGAAAGGCCCTCGATGAGGACATACTCACACCAGTACTCTCCAGAACGTATGATTCTGATCGCTATCACAGCCATATCTTTGTTTCTTCGTATTCCATGTTCTCAGAAAAGGCCTCCACTGCGGGCATACTCACATTAGTACTTTCCAGAATGTATCTGACCGCTATTACATCCAAATCTATCTTTGTTTTCTGTTTTTACTCCTTGTTTCATTCCAAGATTAGTACCCTGCCAGTGAGGCAGGGCATCAAATAGTGTAGCCCAGCCTGATCTCTCTTTTTCCTTTGATGTCTTCCCTCTCTTTTCATCCTTTGTTCTTTTTCTTAAACTGCCACACCCTTAAAATATCATCACTGAACTGAGCGGCTCCAGATAACTGAGAATCTGATTGCAGCTGGGTTTGAACTTGGGTCGGTGTTTCAAAAGGTCATGGGTGTCCCAGCTGGGCTAGGAGCCTTGTTGTTTTTTTTCTTCCGATTTTGATTTCAATATATTTTTTTAGGGGCCCACCAGCCTTTTCCCGCCGAGCCTCTACCGAGCCTTTTAACTGTAGATTTTGCCCCCGTGTTTGTTGACTGACAGAGTGACAGGGCAATGAACTGCTGGTTTAAACCACCGCTCTACCTGCCTCCCGGAAACTGCCCTCCCTGTGAGTTTGAGTGGGATTTTCTGGGGTGGCGAATAAATGTTGCCAACCAGCGGGCCTAGTCCCACAATTTCAAAGTGGAGAATTTGGCGACTTTTCGTGCTCAGACGAATTCACAGAAAATTCTAAAAATTTGAGAGTCTGCAGATTAGGTCGTGATTTTTCCAGCAATCATTTTGCCTGTGAAACAATCGCCACGCCAATTTGCACATTTCCATTTTTGACACGCTACCATGTGTCGGCTAACAGAAGTACGACAACGTTGGCGATTTTTCGTGCTCAGAAGTAGTCGCAGATATTCTAAAAATTTGAGGGTCCTTAGATTAGGTCGTGATCTTTCCAGGACAAATATAAGGTTTTTTTCTGGGTTAAGCCGACGCCCGGCCCAGACGGACCGGGCCAGACGAACGGGGGGGGGTCCGTCCGGCAAAACCAGACGAGCCAAAAAACATCCCAGGATTTTTTTTTTTTTTTTTTTTGAAGATGGG